ACAATATCGTCCGCATACTCAAGGTCGAGAAGTCTTTCTCCAGGCAACAGATCCACACCACCATTACTTACATTCATCAGAGCTGTTTCCAGAATGTCATCGATGGCAAAGTTGAAGAGGAATGGTGAGATTGGGCAACCCTGCCTAACCCCACTGCTCGAATGGAACAATGGAGAGAGGTGGTTGTATGCCCTCACTCTGCCTGAGGTGTTTTTATACAGGGCTTTTAGGATGTTAATAAACTTCTCAGGCACACCCTTCTTCAATAGACAATCCCAGAGAACAGTCCTGTCCAACGAATCGAAGGCAGCCCTGATGTCAAGAAACACTACGATTGTTGGCCTTTGAAAGTATGGCGGTGTTCTAACATTTGGCGGAGGGTGAAGATATGATCAATACATCCTCGACCAGAACGAAACCCAGCCTGCTCCTCGCGAGTCAATCTTTCTCGGGTTTTGAACAACCTACGAAGTATGACGGAAGCCAATAGCTTGGACGCAATCGGAAGTAACTTATCCCCCGATAGTTGTTACAGGAACGACGTGAACCCTTTTTAAAGATAGGGACAACTATCGACTCATTCCATGACGTTGGTACACTCTCTAGTTCCCAAACCTTTGTAAACAACGTCGTCAATTCCTTAGTCAAAAAGTCACCACCATCTTTAAAAAGAGCCGGAGGTAAGTCATCTGGGCCAGGTGATTTGTAACGCTTCAAGAGTTGGAGTTCCTTGCGGACTTCCTCCTCATTTGGTGGATCAGTCGTCACCGGCCATGGAGGGCAGGACAGTCTGACCGATGTTGCCGGAGCAGCAGGCCAGTTGAACTGCCCTTCGAAAAATTCTGCCCATCGTCCAAGACGTCGATGGATGTTAGTGATTGGCATCCCATCATCCTCGCAGATTGTTTCACTCACACCAGACTTCTTGCTGCCAGTGGCTCGGATGAGCTGGAAGAGCTTCCGGTAGTTACCAGATGCAGCTGCTGCTTCCAGCTCATTAGCACGCATCGACCACCAGGCTTCTCGGTCCTTACGCAAGCTTTGCCCAATTTCCTTACGTAACATCCTTCGTTTATGGTCAAACTCACGGTCACCCGGAGTAGACCGACGGGCTTCAATGAGTTGTAAGGAACCAGAAGAAACCCAGTGCTTAAAAGCGGGACGTTTCGCAAACCCACAACTGACTGTTCCCGCCATTTTCATGGCGTCATGCAATTGCAACCAATGCTCATCTATACTTTTCGGTGGAGTGGTAGCTAGCCTAGAGGCTAGCTCGGTTCGATACTTACTTGCAACAGAAGTTGCAACCAGCTTGCTAACATCAATCCGTTGATGGCGTTCACTTCGTTGTCCACTGAAAAGTAAGGCAAGATTGGCGCAGACCAAGGCATGGTCAGAGTCCAGATAGGTACTCCAAAAGGAGCGGCAGTCTTTTACACAACCACGCCAGCGGTAGCTGATCGCGATGTGATCAATCTGAGTCCAGGCTTGAGATGCAGAGGGAGGACGCCAGGTGGCACATCGGCGATGACTGTGCCGAAAGTTAGTGCTAGCCAGAAACAGGTTGTGGTCTGTGCAAAGTTGCAGTAGACGGTCCCCGTTATCTGACCTGCGACCAACGAGTCCCCATCGGCCACCTAAACGACTCTCTTCTGTGCCTAGACGCCCGACCTGAGCATTCAAGTCTCCGGCTAGTACTACAATATCTGTCGAACGCACTTTCTGGAGAAGAACTGATAACTGGTGGTAAAACTCATCCTTGATTGCATCCGGGCTGCAATCTGTCGGGGCATAGGCGGAGATGACGAAAAGACATCGTTTCTCACGCCGATTTCTTCTCACTTTGATGGAACTTTCTAATCTAACAGCACATAACCGACTGTTAATGGGGATCCAATCGACTAGTGCTGCCTCAGCTCTAGCGCTTAGTGCGACACCAACGCCAGCAAGACCAGACGAAGATGCCACAGGGTCCCCGGATAAGCGCACGTAAAACAAGCTTTTCGAAGCGACAGATGGAGATCGAATTTGTAGTACTTCGCCAGAGTCTTGAATACGGGTCTCGGATAGACAACAAACGTCGATATTAAGACTTTCCAAAGACATAGCCAGCCCTATCTGTTGTCCGACCTGCATAAATGTGCGAACGTTGAAGGCAGCCAGTTTGAATGGTGCACGTGGTTTCAGAAAAACTGCTTCAGTCCTCGTATTCGGTGGTAACATACAATTTTCAACCGGACAGTGACTCGAGAACGTTTAGATACAGTCGAATTTCCACCAAAGACGAGCCGCTGTATAAGTATAAAAGAGGGTGAATAATGTGGAAAATAATAATAATAGTATTAATAATGACAATAATTGTAATGATAATAATTTGAATCAACTGATTGTTTTTCGAAGCGAGAAAAGTAATTTCCATAGACATAAAGAGTTCATCATTTGTGTGTGGGCTGTGATACTGCCCGGGTGCCCAAACCGAAGCAGGTGGTTATCTTAGGGGGCCACACCCCGAGCCTTCGAACAGTCTTTTTGGTACTTTTGGATCGGTTTGGCTTCCTCTTAAGACAAAACCCATCTTTATGACCGAAGACCTTAAACTTCCTGCATCGATGTTGCCTAAATGGGTAGTTTCGTACATAGTGCCATGCACCACAGTGCCAGCAAGGAGCAGGGGGATTCGTTTTAGTCTGTCGGACTGAGCTGGAGTGGGACGGACTGGTGTAGCAGAGGCACATTTATTCTGGTTAAGTGTCTGTTGCACTACTCGTACTTCAGATCGACTAGACCCACCACTCTGAACCATAGTTGTGTCTCGTTGCAGATTAATGAGGCGTTGGTATTCATTAACCATGTCACTAAGGGTGAGTTTAGGATCTTGATCCGATCGATACAGTAACCGTGTTCTTATGTCACTGAAGTTTTGGGACTGGAGGCTGCAAATGAGGATGGGGGCTTTGAACTGGTCTTCAGACAAAGACTTCAACCGGAAGCGTTCGCATTCACGGTTGAGGATACCCACATGTGTAAGAAAATCATCGTCTTCGTTCATAATTAGTTTCAAACATCGATAACGAGTATTAAACAATGATGAGTTGTCGCCGAAATGTTGGCTTAATGTCTGGACTGTGTCTGAGAATGAGCGATCATGTGGGTTCAAGGGTAGGATCAAATTACAGTAACTGTCCAGCTCACTTGCATCCAACTTTCGAAGTAGCAGTTTGTTGATAACTAATTTAGCCAATGAGATACAAAAACTAGGGGCGATCCCTGATTGCTAATAAGTAATATAGTCATGAAATAAGAAAATTAGCATGCACTATTGAGAGGTTCGTAAGTGGTACAAAACAGCTCTTTAATATTTCTTGGTATTAGAGTAGTTTCCAGCTAATATTAGTTCGAAATAACTGCAAATCCACTACTAAACTTTATTTCTCTCCAGAATAATGTAAAAATGAAATTTCATTATCCATTAGTTGGAAATGTTACTCTGACAATCCAATTCAGAATCAAAAGAAAGAACTAATGGTGGTGGTCTGATGTTTAGATTACTGAGCTAATTTTCACTCAAGTTACACATATTATTATCCGAATACATTATTTTCTATTGTTTTTCTTATGACTCCTACTATAGTTATTCCCAATTTTTAGACGGTCATTTTACTGATTCCTTTTTACCGAGTTATCGTTTAAGACAACGAGCATAACAGTTCACAATTCAAGCAAGAAATAATCTTTATTAGTTTAAATAGCAATACAAACTTTTCACACTAAAAGTACTAACAGATTCGATCAATGTTTGAAAATATGGGGACTATAGTAGCAATAATACAACCGATGGAGCAACAGATAAAATTAATTAGGAAAATTTTATGCAATTTGTTCCCTTTATGAATTTAAATAAAGCAAGAACAAATATTGATGCAGAATAGTATTCCTTTGTCATCCCAGTTATTTACATTCATTTATGTCAATTGTTTCACACTATTTCTTATCTCAATGTAAAATTCTAATACATATTTGGTTGTAAGCAGCTGACGAGAAACCTCGAAATATTATGAATTCATACTATTCTGCATCAATATTTGTTCTTGCTTTATTTAATTAGGAAAAGCTTTGTTGGTCTATCTACTCTATTGTTTGAAAAACAAACTCTGAAGCACAGTCGCTATGGAAGCAGTGGTCTAGTAATTAAAACATGGTTTCCGACCATTAGATCTCAGATCCGAACTTTACTCCACTACCATCTGAGTGACAGAGGATTACTAGCCTTTCAACAAAATGTATGAATCAAAGCCAAGTGCATAAATTTGAACCTGGTAGATGAGTCACATAATTATTTGCAATCGATAATGGCTAAGAGGAAAAATTATATTTACTAACGCCTTGAATGGTTCACGCCGTCTTTTAGATCGCTGAGGTACTAAATTAACAAAAAAATTATTGATATTAAAGTAGGGCCACCAACAGACTGACCTTGATTCCTTCAGTAAGTGTTATAATATAGTGGTGGTGCTGTGAACGACCACCAATTGAGATAGTTATGAAATGCGTTACTTAAAGCAATGAATAACCCGAAGTGAAACAGTAGTCAGCATAGGATTACGTTGAAAACAAAAACGTCTGATATCTGCTGGGCCACGAAATAAAATCTGTCCATGAAATTACTGCTATTGTTCTGAACTGTGCAGAAAGATACAGAGTTCTTGGTTAAGCTGTGAGATAATCGTTATCTATGGTTGAAGACCTTAAGCGGCATGCCCAAATGTAGGTAGTAATGGAATAAATGTATTCACTCTTTGAAGCCCACTCTAGATTTTGAGTTTCAATATTCTCCTATATTTTCCACTTCAACTGCTTTTGATATTATTTTGACTGTGCAGCTTTTATGCTAATTCTCTTTCATTATGGTGACGAAGTGTGATAACATGAACCGACATGTATTTCTACCCAGCTTTAAGTTATTTATGAATGAATCATAGAACATAAATGACCTAACTTACCCCGGGGTCTACATTGACACCAATTTTTTGAAAATCATCTGAAGGTGAAGAATTTCGTGGTCTGCGACTTTGATGCGCTGAAATAAGTTGTACTGTACTTGATTGATCATAAAGTAGTGGAGTTCTGCCTTCGTTTTCCTCTCCATCTGTTGAACAAATAATAATTAACTAAATAATAAACTTACCTAAACAGAGATGCATAATTAATAGCGTTACACACACTAATGACCACGACAATGACTATGTGAACGGGTACGCTGAAATCAAAATATTCATATTCCCATGATCGAAACAAGGCAAAATGCTAAACAACGAAAATTCCGGGATAATAATAGGAATAATAACGGAATGAAGTGCATGCATATAGCATACAAATCTCCTTGAGCCTAGCACACTGTCAGTTATTCATTTACAACATAAAACCAGGACATATGTGCATCGGTCCAAGTTGCGATAAATCATTAGTACAAAAAGATGAACACTGAATTCATAGAAGCAGTTAACCAAGTGGAGGCAATATATAAGAAAAAAATTGCTTATCAGGATCCCAAGCAACACAAAAAGGAGAAATAAAGGCGAAGAAAGGGGAAATAAAGCGGACGAAAGAGTAAATAAAGGGGAAATGTCGCTTTTTCGCCTTTACGTCGGTTATTTAGGGGAAATGTCGCTTTTTCCCCTTACGTCGTGTATTTGGGGGAAATTTGTCGAATGGGAAGTTTAGTCCTAACGTGATTTGCATTTATCAAACTTTTGCTGTGTTCTTACGCAACAAAAGTACCATTTCAGTTCTAAAGAATCTATCCTGAGCTATACGTTCGGTAGATTACTTTTTTTTGAGTTTCACCATACTTAATAGTTACCTGTGGTTTTGCCTCAGCTTACTATTCGGCTTTTTTTGTTTTTCACGTATAGACTAGTTTCGGTTTATATCACTCGGTTTATCTGTTTTTTTCCGTTTTCAGTGTGCTTTTTAGTGTTTTTTAAAGGTCTTAGGCTTTTGCAAGCATCTATAACATAGTTTGCTTCAACACCGTCATGAAAAACTCATGCAAACGTCCGGGATGCCGTTTTGCTGTCACAACTGGCATGCAGTGCGACAACTGCAAAGGTTGGTTCCACGAAGCATGCACAGATCTGACAGCAACTGCTTACAACAGACTCAGCAAGTCAGAGCAAAAGTGGGTGTGTGTCACGTGCAAGCACGGACGCTGTAGTCTTGCTGAGTAACATCATTGTCCTACTGACAAGGTCTTCGGAACAAGTTGTCAGTTAACTTGGATAACGATCGTAAAAAAACTGATATACAAACAAGAGCGTGCGAACGGACTACAAAAATAGGGATGTCGATAGGTATACCATCGATGGAGCATCCAGTCAACACTAATGACTGACGTGTCGAGGCTCAGTACCATCATTACGTCGACGGTACTAGAACTCCCTAAGCAAACTCGGGTCTCCCAGCTCAGGGTCCCTGAACACAACAGTGGTTCCCAAAAACCCTGTAGGTGATTCGACCCACGTTAAGAGAGCCCAAAAGAACCAGGCATCACCGCCTAAGCCGAGCAACCCAAGTGTTGCTGTACGGAAAATAACTGGTGATTTGGTCGCACAGTCTACCCCCAAGACTGTTCGTCCGGTCAACAAAGAGCCCAAGACTCAAAAACGCGCACTGACCTCCAAACAACAAGCTATTAAACCTGAACCCAGCGTGAAACTTGGTAAATTAACAACAGTTCGTGACGATTCTCTCATTATCATGATTTTATTTATTTATTTGAACACATAAATATTGGTACAAGAGAGCGCCAATATATATGCGCCACACAAAACAATGAGAATTCGAAGAGAAGTAGAAAGAGAAAAAAAAAACTAAGGAACGCAAAAGAAAAAGAGAGTAATGACGAAGAGGTACAATCAGAAGAAATCTTTCAGGTAAGGGAGACACAACCACTTTTTATGAAGAAAGTAAAAGAAGGTTACAGCAGGATCGCCACTGGCTTCTATTCTCAGCCATATCTGATAACGTCTCTAGCCACTGTGTAGCACCATCTCTCGGACCCCAGCCAGGGAGTCGTGAAGGACCAACACAAGCCAGTCCTTTGCAGCTTTCTTTCATGCCACGACACCATGTCATGCACTGACCACCTCTCCGCTTCTTCCAACCAGTCCCAGAGTCGGCAAATAATGCACGACGTGGAATTCTCTGGGACGACATTCGGAGAACATGTCCAAGCCACCGAAGTCAGTGTTTCAAGATGGTGACACCAATTGAGTTATCATCTCTGTGCCCGAACACACGATGCCGAACATCTGCATTACTGACATGGTGTTGCCACTGAATGTCAGCAATCCTTCGGAGACAGCGATGATCGAAAACAGAGAGTCGTCTAACGTCCTCAGCTCGGAGAGACCAGGTTTCACAAGCATAGAGCAAAACTGCTCTCACCAACGCGTTGTAGATCCGACCTTTTACAGCCAGACTAACATCACGAAGGCGCCAAAGGTGGCCCAGATTGGCATAAGCCGCTCTGGCTTTCACTATACGTGCATTGATCTCATCACTCACACCCCCACCAGCACTTATGCAGCTACCCAGATACACGAACTTCTCGACTACGTCTATCTGCTCACCATCCAGGGTGAGTACAGGATTAGAATCCTACCAGTCTTGTAGAAGTACTTTGCACTTCGAAGCTGCAAAGCACATACCATACCTACGGACACTGATTGTCAACTGATTAAGTGCGGATTGCATGCCTTGGGCATTATCGCACAGTAAGACAATATCGTCCGCATACTCAAGGTCGAGAAGTCTTTCTCCAGGCAACAGATCCACACCACCATTACTTACATTCATCAGAGCTGTTTCCAGAATGTCATCGATGGCAAAGTTGAAGAGGAATGGTGAGATTGGGCAACCCTGCCTAACCCCACTGCTCGAATGGAACAATGGAGAGAGGTGGTTGTATGCCCTCACTCTGCCTGAGGTGTTTTTATACAGGGCTTTTAGGATGTTAATAAACTTCTCAGGCACACCCTTCTTCAATAGACAATCCCAGAGAACAGTCCTATCCAACGAATCGAAGGCAGCCCTGATGTCAAGAAACACTACGATTGTTGGCCTTTGATTCATATTATTATCATTACAATTACTTGTCATTATTATTACATTATCATGAACCTCGTTGACAATCCTGATCTTCCTCTCAGTCTGCAGGACAAAAACGACAGGATGCTCTGGGGTGAATTGAACAAGAAGCTTGAACTTCCTAGAATAGAGCCTTTGACGGTCACCCGGCTCACTCGAGGAAAGGATTCTAAGCATCTAAATCACCCGAGGCTTCTCCGAGTAACACTTAAGAATGCTACCGACGTAGAGGACGTCTTGCTAGCAAGTCACTTGCTGAAATCAGATGGTAACGTAAAAATATTGCCCGACATACCGTACTCTGAGCGCAATATCATACGAAACGTCCCTAAAGAATCTCGCGAGAAGTTTTTCCGCGGAAGAAACATAATTGTGCAAGGTATACCGGAAAATGCAGACCCTACTCAATCAAATTCTGACATCAGGGAATGGAAATTCATCAAACAGTCCTTGAGGCTCAAACACATACTGACTCAGCATGTGACGAGACTAGCCAAGAAGGACGGTGATCCTAGACCTCGTCTAATGAAGATAACCTTCCCATCTTCCCACATGGCGGCTGCAGTTCTGGAAGCATTTCGTGCCAACAGACGTCGATTGCCACCTGGAATCCACATGCACCCGGATAGGCCATACGAAGCTAGGACCAAACACAAAGGCAAGTTGGAGCTGACCATTCCACTTGTGGACTGTCTAAACGATAAAAAAACGTGTAAAGGACAGGGCCTACCACCTCGGCAAACCTCATATAGGTGGGCTACCTGTCCATTCACATAAGGTTCATACAGAAAAACAGGACGAAGCTCACGCGTTCCAAATTGAAAGCATAAACTGCTTATATATGAACGCCGCGAGTCTACCAAACAAACTGGATGAACTACGTGAACTTAGCAACGCTAATAAGGCCCATCTGATAGGAATATCTGAAACCTGGATATCTTCTCAGTTCTCGGACCAAGAGTTAGCATTACCTGGGATGACTTTGTTCCGCAACGACAGAAAAACAGGAATTGGGGGCGGAGTAGCCATATACATAAGCTCTTGCTTGGAGGTGCACCAAGTTCACAACCTCGAGTTTAACAATCTTGAGGAATCCATATGGTGCTCTGTAAGATTGTCTAGTACTTCGAGGTGTCTAGTCGGAGTCATTTACAGGAAGCCAACTGCCGACATCGAGTACGATAGTCGTATGCTGGAAGGACTATCCCGCTCTATCCGTCTCGGTTTCACACACATCCTGATTCTAGGGGACTTTAATCTCCCTAGAGTCAACTTCGCGGAACACACGTACACTGGAGGCGACAACTCAATTGAAGCTCGGTTCTTCAACCTCATCGATGACTTGGGCTTATATGAAAATGTGAGGTCGGCAACTCGTTGGAGAAACAGTCAGACACCATCGCGCTTAGACTGTGTATTCACTAACGAAGAATTCCTAGTCGACAACCTCTCAATCCTGGCTCCTCTGGGAAAGAGCGATCATGCCGTCATAGCCTTCAGTTTTGTCATCAAAACTAAGCTAAGGTATCCCAACAATAATTTGCGTTGGAATTTTAAACGGCTGAATGTGCCAGCTCTACATGACTATCTACAACAGGTGGTTTGGGATGTTCACCCTCAACTCGATGTGGATGGTCATTGGGACTTCTTACTGCACACGCTCTTATGTGCTACAAACCATTCAGTTCCTCAAACGGTTCCCAAAAGCTGCAAGCCACCTACAGTAATCAAGAACCGTACCCTTCGCCTGCTAAGCCGCAAAAGGCACTGTTGGGCGGAATACAAACGAACTAATAACGATGGAGCGTATAGGCAATATAAACATATCAGGAACATATGCACGAAGGCTATAAGAGAAGACAGGCTTCAGTACCAAACAAAGCTTATGGACAAATTCGCCTCTAACCCTAGAAGCCTATTCCGTTATGCAGCCTCTCTTCGTCAAGCCAAAACAGGAGTTTCTCAACTGGTAGGTCTTAACGGCCCGACCAACAACGATGGCGACGCCGCTAACCTTCTGGCGGCACATTACTCTCAAACATTTCAACCGGCTGACATCAACTTTACTGACGACAGTTTCATCTGCAATTCCACAGGACTTTCCGAAGTGGACCTAAGCGCTGACTTGGTGTTCCGGAAATTGCAGCACTTAAGATTAGACACTTCTCCTGGCCCGGATATGGTTCATCCTGCCATACTGAGGGAGGCAGCCTCAATCCTGGCAACGCCGCTTAGCGTGATGTTTTCACACTCGCTAAGCCGAGGCAAATTACCGGAAAATTGGAAGTTGGCTCACATCACACCAATTTTCAAAGGTGGTCGACGCAATGAACCTTCAAGTTATCGGCCGGTGGCTCTTCTGTCATTACCTTCAAAACTCATGGAGTCCCTGATATGCGACGGTTTAAATGACTATCTACTGTCCTTAAATTTCTTCTCACCCCAACAGCATGGTTTCAGGAAGGGTTACTCTTGTATAACCAACCTGCTGACTGCGGTGGACAGATGGACAAGCATCCTCGATCGCAAGGGAAAGGTTGATATCATTTACCTTGATTTCTCAAAAGCTTTTGATAAGGTTAACCACTTGTGTCTTATCAACAAGCTCAAACGACTAGGTATCAAACCACCTCTAATCGATTGGCTTACTTCATACCTAAAAAATCGACACTTTAAGGTTAGGGTTAATTTCACTTTATCTCAGGCTATGGAATGTCCTAGTGGGGTCCCCCAGGGCTCAGTACTAGGGCCTCTTCTCTTCTTGATCTACATAAATGATCTTCCTCAACAGGTAACGTCAGACTTATTACTTTTTGCCGACGACGTGAAACTTTGGAGAGAGATACGCAACCAAGACGATATACAGGCACTTC